CGCCCTCATGAGACCCCACTCACCCTCATGAGACCCCACTCGCCCTCATGAAACCCCACTCGCCCTCTCATGAGACCCCACTCGCCCTCATGAGACCCCACTTGCCCTCATGAGACCCCACTTGCCCTCATGAGACCCCACTTGCCCTCATGAGACCCCACTTGCCCTCATGAGACCCCACTTGCCCTCATGAGACCCCACTTGCCCTCATGAGACCCCACTTGCCCTCATGAGACCCCACTTGCCCTCATGAGACCCCACTTGCCCTCATGAGACCCCACTTGCCCTCATGAGACCCCACTTGCCCTCATGAGACCCCACTTGCCCTTGTGGCCCCCCCAGGACAGGAGGGGATGGGGCAGGGGCCCTTACCGCTCCTCCATGAGCTCCCTGATGGACGCCACGGTGGGCCCCGAGCCCAGGTGGGTGTAATAGGGTCCCTCGTCCTTCTCCACAATTTGCTCTGCAGAGGCAGAAAAGAGGGGGGGAACAGATATTTTGGGGTTTGCACCTCCACTGGCTGCCCCGAAGGATGCCAAACCCCCAAATTCCCCTCAAATGGAGCACTTTTGCACCCAAACCCAAAGGTACCTCAGCAGCGTTTCCCCCTAAGAGCACTGGGGAAGGGAAGCCGCAATTAGGGGTTCGTTAAACAGCCCGAGGGCTCCTCTTCATTTTCTGCTCCCAGCACTAAAAACGCCACTGGGGATCGGGGGGACGGGGGCTCAGCCCCAAAAACCTCCCCGGGGGGATGCAGCCCCCTCCAAGCCTCCCGGCAGGACTGTGGCTCCATCCTGGCACCAGGGCTCGGCACCGGCTGCTTTGAGCGTGGGGCATTTTGACGAGCTCTGATGAGATGAAGCAATTAGCAGCGGTGGGCAATTCAGCATATACCCCCCCGACCCCCCTGCTCCCCACCAGCTCCCACCCTGGCACCCGCCTGGCCCCGCTCACTGGGACTGGCGCAGCCGAGATGCTGCCAAAACCATCAGGGGATGATATTGGGGCTGAAAACTACCCGCTGGTGCCACTTCCAGGCTCATCAGGAGGATTTGGGGATGCTCAGGGGATGCCCGGAGTTGGCTGAGCCTGGGCAAGGAAGGAGCAGGAGCTACCGGGGAAGGATGCTGGGCTACAGAAGAAGGATGCTGGAGGCCACAGGCAAAGGCTGCTGGGGCTGCAGGAGAAGGATGCTGGGTCTACCAGAAAAGGATGCTTGGCTATTGGAGAAGGAAGCTGGGCTACAGAAGGATACTGGGGCTACCAGAAAAGGATGCTGGGCTACAGGAGAAGGATGCTTGGCTACAGGAGAAGGATGCTGAGGCTACCAGAAAAGGATGCTTGGCTATGAGAGAAGGATGCTGGGCTACAGGAGAAGGATGCTTGGCTATGACAGAAGGATGCTGGGCTATGACAGAAGGATGCCCGGGGCTACAGCAGAAGGATGCCCGGCCAGAGGATGCTGTGGCTACGGGAGAAGAATCCTGGGCTATGGATGCTGGGCTACTGCAGAAGGATGCTGGGCTACAAAAGGATGCTGGAGGCTATGGGAGAAGGATGCTGGGCTATAGGAGGAGGATGCTGGGCTACGAGAGAAGGAAGCTGGGGCTATGGATGCTGGGCTACTGCAGAAGGATGCTGGGCCACAAAAGGATGCTGGAGGCTATGGGAGAAGGACGCTGGGCTAGGACAGAGGTATGCCAGGTGCTATGGCAGAAAGATGCCAGGGCTATGGCAAAAGGCTTCTGGGCTACGGAGGATGCTGGGGCTCCAGCAGAAGGATGCTGGGCTATGGCAGAAGCTGGTGCTGCTAGAGAAGGATGCCGGGGCTAGCAGAGAAGGATGCTGGGCTACAGCCCTGCAAGCAACAACCCCCAGCAGCACCAAACCCCTCGGGGGTTTTCAGGGCAGGAAGGTGCTGGTGTGGGGAAGCCAAGGATGCTGGGGGCCAGCACAGGGGTCCATCTCCGGCGCAGGGGGATGCTCAAACGCCGCCGGCGGGGATGAGGACGCGGTGCCAGGGCCGGGGCTGATCCATCCTTCCAACCCTCAGCTCTCACCACCCTGATTTTCATTCCCATCATGTCGAACTGGCCGGGAGCCAGGGCGAGGAGAAAGCCGGGCTCAGCTGGGCTGCAGCTGTCCAGACAGGGATCAATACGGGCCACGCAGCGAAGGCTGATTTTATTACGGCGTCTAAACAGCACAGGCACCTAATAAAGCCCCGAGCCCCAACTCCTACTTAATTGCTTTCTCTCACAGCTTTGCCTTGAGAAAAACGGAGAGAGGTGGTGGGGGGAGGAGGGGAATCCCCCACCTTTCCCAGCTTTTAAAACAGGTTGCAAAGGAAAAAGCCACCCGAATCTTTTCAAGCAGCGCAGGGAGAAACTCCGAGATCGGTTCGAGCGGCTCCAGAAAAGCCTTTCATTCGCTCGGGCTAATTACTGCTGCCATTTACAAGCAAATAAATAAATAATCATAAGCCCTGCTAATAAAGTGCAGCTTGCACTTGGCCCCAGGCCACCTCTCCCAGCAGCGCGGGGGTTCGTTGGTCCGTCTGGATGCCCCAAATCCTCACCCTGCTCCTTCCCAGGGGAGAGCACTGGGGCTCAATTTTGGGGAGGGAAGAGCCAGGTCCCAGCGCTCGGATGGAGCTAGGACCCGGTGGGAAGTGTCTGCCACTTGCTGCCAAGTCTAACGAATGCCAACACACACCAAAAAAACCACCTAACAAATCCCAAATCCAAGAGTTTGATGACTTTTCAATGCATCCCGGTGGGATCAGCCACCAAACAACCCAGACACCCAGCAACAAATAACCCAAATCAACTAATTTGGCTTAAAACAACAGGAATTACCAGATGAGATAGATTTTAGGTGGCTTTTGGGGCTCCACGGGATTTAGCCGAACGCTTCAATGTAGGCAACACCCAACAGCCCTTTGGTTTTGCTGTTTTTTCAACCCACGATGGCATAGCTGGGTTGGTGTTGGCACCACCTCCATGGTGACACAATGTTTTTTTCCAAAAATATGCCAAAGCCAAGAGTTTGGTGCCTTTTCAATGCACCCCGGTGGGATCAGCCACGAAACAACCCAGCAGCAAATAACCCAAACTGGCCAATTTGGCTTCAAATGGTGGGAATAACCAGGTGAGACACATTATAGGTGGGTTTTGGAGCTCCATGGGATTTAGCCAAGCATTAAGAGGAGCCAAAACCCAACAGCCCTTTGGTTTTGCTGTTCTTCCAAGCCATGCCGGCATGGACAGCTTGGTGTTGGCACCACCTCCACGGCGACACTACTTTCTTTCCAAAAAGATCTCAAATCCAAGACTTTGGTGCCTTATCAATATATCCCAGTGGGATCAGACACCAAACAACCCAGCAGCAAATAACCCAAACCAGCCAATTTGGCTTAAAACAACAGAAATAACCAGGTGAGATGGCTTTTAGGTGGGTTTTGGAGGTCCATGGGATTTAGAGCAAGCACTAAAGAGGAGGCAAAACCCAACAGCCCTTTGGTTTTGCTGTTCTTCCAACCCAGGATGGCATGGCCAGCTTGGTGTTGGCACCACCTTCATGGTGACACTACTTTCTTTCCAAAAAGATCTCAAATCCAAGACTTTGGTGCCTTATCAATATATCCCAGTGGGATCAGACACCAAACAACCCAGCAGCAAATAACCCAAACCAGCCAATTTGGCTTAAAACAACAGAAATAACCAGGTGAGATGGATTTTAGGTGGGTTTTGGAGGTCCATGGGATTTAGAGCAAGCACTAAAGAGGAGGCAAAACCCAACAGCCCTTTGGTTTTGCTGCTCTTCCAACCCACGATGGCACAGCCAGGTTGGTGTTGGCACCACCTCCACGGTGACACTACTTTCTTTCCAAAAAGATCCCAAATCCAAGAGTTTGGTGCCTTCTCAATGCATTCTGGTGGGATCAGCCACCAAACAACCCAGCAGCAAATAACCCAAACCGGCCAATTTGGCTTAAAACAACAGGATTAACCAGGAAAGCTGATTTTAGGTGGGTTTTGGTGCTCTATGGGATTTAGCCAACGCTTCAGCAGAGTGAAAACCCAACAGCCCTTTAGTTTTGCTGTTCTTCCAACGCACGCCGGCATGGACAGGCTGGCATCAGCATCACCTCCATGCTGACATGATTTTTTTTCCCCAAAAAATCCCAAAGCCAAGAGTTTGGTGCCTTTTCAATGCATTCCGGTGGCATCAGCCACCAAACAACCCAGAAACCCAGCAGCAAATAACCCAAACCAGCCAATTTGGCTTAAAACAACAGGAATAACCAGATGAGATAGATTTTAGGTGGGTTTGGGGGCTCCATGGGATTTAGCCGAGCGCTTCAATGTAGGCAACACCCAACAGCCCTTTGGTTTTGCTGTTCTTCCAACCCACGATGGCATGGCCAGCTTGGTGTTGGCACCACCTCTACGGTGACACTACTTTCTTTCCAAATAGATCCCAAATCCAAGAGTTTGGTGCCTTCTCAATACATCCCTTCTCAAACAACCCAGCAGCAAATAACCCAAACTGGCCAATTTGGCTTAAAACAACAGGATTAACCAGGAAAGCTGATTTTAGGGGGGTTTTGGGGCTCCACGGGATTTAGCCAACGGCTTCAGCAGAGTCAAAAGTCCAACAGCCCTTTGGTTTTGCTGTTCTTTCAACCCATGATGAGATGGCCAGCGTGGTGTTGGCACCACCTCTACGGTGACACTACTTTCTTTCCAAATAGATCCCAAATCCAAGAGTTTGGTGCCTTCTCAATACATCCCTTCTCAAACAACCCAGCAGCAAATGACCCAAACAACCCAATTTAGCTTAAAACAACAGGAATAACCAGGAAAGCTGATTTTAGGTGGGTTTTGGGGCTCCACGGGATTTAGCCAACGGCTTCAGCAGAGTCAAAAGTCCAACAGCCCTTTGGTTTTGCTGTTCTTTCAACCCATGATGACATGGCCAGCGTGGTGTTGGCACCACCTCCACAGTGACACTACTTTTTTTCCAAAAAGATCCCAAATCCAAGAGTTTGGTGCCTTTTCAATGCATTCTGGTAGCATCAGCCACCAAACAACTCAGCAGCAAATAACCCAAACCGGCCAATTTGGCGTTAAAACAGCAGGAATAACCAGGAAAGCTGATTTTAGGTCGATTTTGGTGCTCTGAGGGATTTAGCCAACGCTTCAGCAGAGTGAAAACCCAACAGCCCTTTGGTTTTGCTCTTCTTCCAACCCAGGATGGCACGGCCAGGTCAGCATTAGCACCACCTCCACGGTGACATGATTTTTTTTCCCAAAAAAATCCCAAAGCCAAGAATTTGGTGCCTTTTCAACGCATCCAGGTGGGATCAGCCACCAAACAACCCAGAAACCCAGCAGCAAAGAACCCAAACTGGCCAATTTGGCTTAAAACAACAGAAATAACCAGGTGAGATGGATTTTAGGTGGGTTTGGGGGCTCCACAGGATTTAGCCGAGCGCTTCAATGTAGGCAACACCCAACAGCCCTTTGGTTTTGCTGCTCTTCCAACCCATGATGACATGGCCAGCTTGGTGTTGGCACCACCTCCATGGTGACACTACTTTCTTTCCAAATAGATCCCAAATCCTAGAGTTTGGTGCCTTCTCAATGCATCCCAGTGGGATCAGCCACCAAACAACCCAGCAGCAAATAACCCAAACCAGCCAATTTGGCTTTAAAACAACAGGAATAACCAGGTGAGATAGATTTTAGGTGGGTTTTGGTGCTCTGAGGGATTTAGCCGAGCGCTTCAGTGGAGGCAAAACCCAACAGCCCTTTGGTTTTGCCGCTCTTCCAACCCACGATGGCATGGCCAGCTTGGTGTTGGCACCACCTCCATGGCAACACAATGTTTTTTTCCAAAAATATGCCAAAGCCAAGAGTTTGATGACTTTTCAATGCATCTCGGTGGGATCAGCCACCAAACAATCCAGCAGCAAATAACCCAAACTGGCCAATTTGGCTTCAAATGGTGGGAATAACCAGGTGAGACACATTTTAGGTGGGTTTTGGTGCTCTGTGGGATTTAGCCGAGCGCTTCAGTGGAGGCAAAACCCAACAGCCCTTTGGTTTTGCTGTTCTTCCAACCCACGATGGCACAACCAGGTCACCGCCAGCACCACCTCCATGGTGACATGATTTTATTCCCCCAAAAAATCCCATGACTTTTCAATGCATCTCGATGGGATCAGCCACCAAACAATCCAGCAGCAAATAACCCAAACTGGCCAATTTGGCTTCAAATGGTGGGAATAACCAGGTGAGACACATTTTAGGTGGGTTTTGGTGCTCTGTGGGATTTAGCCGAGCGCTTCAGTGGAGGCAAAACCCAACAGCCCTTTGGTTTTGCTGTTCTTCCAACCCACGATGGCACAACCAGGTCACCGCCAGCACCACCTCCATGGTGACATGATTTTATTCCCCCAAAAAATCCCAAATCCTAGAGTTTGGTGACTTTTCAGTGCACCCCGGTGGCATCAGCCAACAAACAACCCAGAAACCCAGCAGCAAAGAACCCAAACTGGCCAATTTGGCTTCAAATGGTGGGAATAACCAGGTGAGACACATTATAGGTGGGTTTTGAAGCTCCATGGGATTTAGCCAAGCATTAAAGAGGAGGCAAAACCCAACAGCCCTTTGGTTTTGCTGTTCTTTCAACCCATGATGACATGGCCAGTGTGGTGTTGGCACCACCTCCACAGTGACACTACTTTTTTTCCAAAAAGATCCCAAATCCAAGAGTTTGGTGCCTTTTCAATGCATTCTGGTGGGATCAGCCACCAAACAACCCAGCAGCAAATAACCCAAACCGGCCAATTTGGCTTCAAATTGTGGGAATAACCAGGTGAGATAGATTTTAGGTGGGTTTTGGGGCTCCATGGGATTTAGCCGAGCGCTTCAGTGGAGGCAAAACCCAATGGCCCTTTGGTTTTGCTGCTCTTCCAATCCATACTGGCATGGCCAACTTGGTGTTGGCACCACCTCCAGGGTGACACGGTGGTCACTCAGTGTTTGCCATCCCACCACAAAAATCAGAGGGGAGATGACAAAGTAAAAAGAGGGCTCTGCAGCATCGGGGACCACATCCCTCCAGAAGTGGGATCTTTGCCGGCACCGTGGCATCGCCCTGTGATTTATCCCAAACAATCCCACCCTGCAAAGCCACCTCCTCGAAATACCACCCCGGGGGGCTCCTCCCCACCCCAGTAACACCCCGGGGGCCCGGCCGTTGGCTCACCGACGCAGTCGCAGGTGGGGAACTCGGCCTGTGCCCGCTTGGCCGGGGTGTCCAGGAGGCTTTTGGTCGGCGTGTCCAGGTATTTGAGAGGCGACTCCAAAAAGCCGCTCAGGGTGGGCGTCAGCGGCACCTCGTCCTTGGTGGGCGTCCCGTCGGCCTCGTCCGCCTCCGGGTTTTGGCTTTCCTCGGAGTAAAAGCACGTGGTGGACACCACGGTGATAGCACCAGAAGACTCGATTTTGATCTGTTTTGGGGAGCGGGCGGTGAAGGGGGGGGGGTCCGAAAGCAGCCCCTTCCCCGGTGAGAACAAAAAGCTTTTGGGGCCGGTTTGGGGAGCGCTGCTTGACGCCGGGGCGACGGCGGCGGCGGCGGCGGGGGGCACTTGTGGGGCTGGTGCTGGCCCCCCCGGCAGCTCGGTAGCCCCGGGGGCGAGCGGGGCGGGTGTCTCGGGGGGGGGCAGGTTGAAATTCTCCCCGAATTCAGCTTCGAATTGCCGGATGAGCTCTTCCAGCTTGTCATCCACCATGATGGGGGGCGCGGTGGCCGGCGGGGGGGCGGCCGGGGCTTCCTCTGAAACGGTGGAGCCCGCCGGCACCGGGTGAATTTGGGGGCCCCCCCCGGGGGCACCCCTTTCCTGAGAGTCGGGAGCCGGGGGGACGCCGTC